TCAGGACTGTTGTGCAGCAGTGGGGCAAGGGGTGGGGAGACTCTCCTGAGCTTCCCTGCTAGTCCTAATAGGCCAAAGGATGGCAGTAGTTTTTTTGGGAAACAGGTTCCTGAAAACAGGGAGGGAGGGAGTGGGGTGCTCTTCCTAAAACAGACAGATTAGCTAACACACACACACACACAGAGAGAGAGAGAGAGAGAGAGAGAGACGACTTAGGTATTCGAAAAATGTCCCAAATGGGGACATTTGGGTGTATTTCCCCCTGACCCAGATGGAAAAGTTACCAATGATCTCCTGTGAAAGAGAAAAAGAAATTGTCTAGCAGGAAAGTTGTCCAACCTGTGAAAAGTTCCCCCTCATGCGCTGAGATTCTGTGTTATTTGCATCCTGCTGTGAGCGATTATTGCTTTTTTTTCCACCAGCCCAAGCAGCCTCCCTGATAATAATCGTAAAAAAATTTAAGCTGGAGGGTATTAGGGAACAGACCTTCATTTGCTTGATTTTCAAGGGCCTTCCTATCTCCCGCCGGCAGTCTCGGAGCCTCGTGACTCCTTCAAAGAGCCGCTTTCCAGGAAGGCTGAGGCGTCCCTTTCCCCGTCCTTATCGGAGTCCCTCAGACTGGCTCATTTGCCTAATGGCAGCTCTGTATCTGACACGTGGCGGCGCGCACCTGAAGCTGACGACCAGGGGTGACCTTTCCAAATTGAACTTTTTGTCGCCGTTGTTGTTGTTAGTTCTGTGCGCACCAGAAAACCCTCACAGCATCATTGCGCCACCAGCTTCCCGGTCTCTCACCTGCAACAAGTGCAACTCATCAACCAACAATTTTTTTCAAGGGGTGGGAGGGGAAGGTAGGCTCGGAGAAGATTCATTTATCCACAGCGTTGGCCTTGACAGCAAAACCACAGGAGGCAAACCGCCACAGAGACCGGCTTTACAAACATACCATTTTTTAAAAAAACTAGCAACCAGAAGTGTCATTTCCGAATATATTAAAAACCCATGGTTGGATGCTCTACCCACCCACCCCCAAAAATCCAAATATTGTATGTCGTTGTTACCATCACCAGTAGCATCTTCATTATTAATTTCATTTGTGAATCGCTTCCTACAAAGCAGTCCAAAGCAATTCCAGAGTGCTATAAAAGCCACATGCAAAACAACTGCATACATGTAAAACGTTAAAGCAATTGCACATGTACAGATGGTTCATATAATTGCACATGTCGAAACAATATCATATATTTTAAAAGATGCTGACCAATATAATGGGTGGGGTGGTCATCATCAATTAATTAATTACAGTCAACAGAACAAAAATAAAACCAAAGGATTGTTTCATTAATTTCAGTGGATCTACTATTGAGTAGGACTTAGTTGGCTACAACTCAAAACCTTGTATCTGGAATAAGGCAAGTCAGATTTGTCTTTTATCTCTTTATTATTTCTAAACTGCCTTTCAGGTTAAGTCCAACCAGGGTAGCTCGCACAGAAAATTAAAGTTATAAAATGCACATGAAATAATATATTTACCATTATAAAACTAAAGGCTCCTCCCACTGACCTGTTTATTGTCCCTTTGCCCTAATTTGCTTGTGCAAAGCTTCGACATAGATTAGACTATGCCCAATATTTATTGAGAATTAGTTTTGATTTCTTTACAGAGCAGTTTTAAGACAATCAGCATTCATCCTGATTTGCTTGTGGGGCATTTTTACACCTTCCAAGTAATCATTCAACCATTCCCCACTTTTCAGTGGGTTTCCCTATTGCTTTCCTAGCTTGCAAAAAGTCTCCTTTAAAAAAAAAGTTTTGTTATGCTAAGGCAAGGATAACCAACACAGTGCCCTTCAGATGTTGTTGAACTCCAACTGCTACTGACTCCAGCCAATGACATATAGTCAGAGATGATGGGGGCTGTAGTCCAACAACATTTGAAGGGCACTGTCTTAGCTGTTTCTGTACTAGAGCAGCAGAGCCTTTCCGTCCACTAATTCCATAATAAGTCCATGCCTCATCTCAATGTGGATTGTGAACTTGTGCTGCCTTTAATCCCATCCTGGTCTATACAACTTTCTCCTCCAGCTACTAATGGCCCACACTTTCTCCTCCCTAAATCTGAAGACTGCCTATGTAACTGATGTAGCTCTCTTAGTCAGATTTTCAAAGCATAGAGAATACTGTGGTTGTGGTGGGAGTGATAATTGAGGAAACCAACCATGGACAGAGTGAATGGCGGATGGAACCATAGCCAATGATGTGCTCTTGTCCCCATCCTCCTCCCTGCTGAGTTCTACAAGGACAATACCAAGAAGATATACCAAGAAGGAGGAGGGTAATGGTGAATGCCACCACTCAGACTATCTATAAGAAGAAGGCAAGCAGTTGGGGACTGGTTGAGGACAGACCAAGGTTGATGGGGAAGTTCCCCATTCACTCTACTGGATGAGCCTTCACTGGTTCTTATGAACCCACAGGCTACAAGGCTGGAGGTCCTGTACCCTATACATGCAGCCACCATGCCTCAACAGAAATAAAATAAAGACACTTATGCATCTATCAGTCTGTCTGATTTCGACAGGTCTATCCAAATACATTTGCACTTTAGCCTTGCTGCTTTCTGCTTGTCTCCTCACAGTGGAGCTCTGACACCCCCTGCTGTTTGCTGCAATCTGAAAAGCTGCCAGTCTCAGTCCTCACTGCTGCTTTTTCAGCAATCGCTGGGGAAATCCAACTCTGGATTTTAGCCAGTTTCCACTCTGGACACATGCACAGAGATACACACACACACTTTCCTTTCAGCAGTGATGCCATATGCCAAAGAAGTACTTGGGAACAGAAGCAAAGAAAGCTTCAGCAAATCTGAGGCCAGTCGAGTGGAATCTTGCAACCTATGTCTTTTGGGTTATTGCTTTTTCGAATTGCAATAACATGATCTTCAGTTAATGCTTTCTGGGTGCTTCGCTGTACAAGACGAAGGGACTGACAGGGAGGGAGCTCTGATGCAATTTGTCAGCATTTCTGATCCCTAATTTTGCTCTGACCTTCCATCCATATACGGACACAGTTCCAAGTGCTAAACTGATGTATTCGAATAAGGGAAGGGCATTAGCCCAGTGGTGGAGCATCTTCTTGGCATGAAGTAGGTGCCATGTTGGATCCCCGGCATCTCTAGGTAGGGCTAAGAATCTGAAATCCTGGAGAGTTGCTGCCAGTCAGAACAGGCAATATGGAGCTAGATAGACCATTGGTCAGACTTGGTGTAGGGCAATCCTCTGTCTTCTTTTTAAAAATTAGCACTTCATTCAGAACCCCAAAGAGTGGAGCATTAGTTTGTTGTTAGGAAAAGGGTTGTAACTCAGTGACAGAGCAGCTCCTTTGCCTTTCTAAGGTACTGGGTTCAATCCCGGGCAGGGATGGGAGAGATCCCTGTCTGAAACCCTGGAGAGCCACTGTTAGTATATCACATTGAACTACAACAAGGCAGCTTGCTATGTTTCTTCCTACGCTCCCACATGGCCATAGGCACCAACTCTATGGGACTGAGGACACCTCAGGCCTCCCAATATATTGGGATGGGGCTGAGCCCCTCCACAATCTTGAGGGGCTGGGCTTTATTGGGCCTCACTTCAGCAGTCACCAGGCCCACCCACAGCTGTGACAGGCCCTACTGGACCTCCCCCTCCCTCCTCCTGTTGTGTAATGTTGCATGTGCGTTGTGGGCCCCCCAAAGTTTGACAGAACCCAGCGCCTATGCACATGGCACTGATGGATGCACACGCATACTGGGTTCCACAAGTGAAATACCATTTTCCAATGCATTTCCTGTCACATTCCTAGCCATTAAAAGCTTGCAAGCAAAAACAGGCTCTGGCAGATGGAGTGGACAAGGCCAGCAGTGGGTCCAACAGTCAAGAAGGCAGTTTCTGCACAAGCCTTAGATCATTGGAGCCAACTCCTAGGTGCCGGTCCCTTCAGCCTCTCCCAATACAATGTTTGAGGGGGCCGACACCCCCCCTTTCTACTCAAATGATGTGCATGTGCCACATCATGTGACTGATTATGTGGGGCGGGTCTTACCTGCCCCCCATATTTTATTCAAGTTGGCACCCCTGCTGTAGATGGAAGTGAGGGGCAGATGGGGTTCATCCACTTGAGAAGGTAGCCCATCTAGAACAAGGAAAAGTGATCCTAAACCTCTGCTCCCTTGCAAGATATATTCAGGCAAAGAAAAGGCTAAGGAGCAAGCCCCACACAAATCTGGAGTAGAGTTCCTAAGACACTTGGATGGTACCTTGTATTCTTCCTTCTGGCAACTCCTACAGCCAAGCTGGTGCTCCGCTTTCCTTTGGAAAGTATCAGCCTGGCCAAGAGGAGGGTCTTGTCGTCTGAGCAGCCAAAGCGCTCCATATACACTGCCCAGGCTTGTGCCCTGTAGAGGTCACTTTGGCGCTGCTTGACTTCACCCCTGGAGAAAAACTCTTGAGACAGATGGATGCCAACAAAAAAGCCTGGAGGCACCCATTCAATGCATAGGCTACGAATGCAAAATAATCATCAGAAGTTCTAAAATCAAAATCAAAACAACTATTTAAAAATATAGCAAACCAAAAATTTTAACAGCAGCATAAAATGGGAAGGCTGAAAACACGCTGGAATAGATGAGGGTGGTTTGCAAGCCTATTTTAAAATTTGTTTTGATAGAGCCACTTGTACCACAGCGGGCAAAGTTCATAAACTTGGGACCAGCACTGAGAAGGCACAGCCTTTCATGCCAGTCCAGTGCCAATCTGATTGATCTTACTTCTGTGCAGGGTTGCCAACTCATGGGAGCCGAGCCCTTTTGAAGGCCCCCAATATTTTTGGGTGAACTTGAATTCAACTGTGAATTGAATGCAAACCAAACTAGTTTAACTGGAACTAGTGCCATTTAAAAATGAACTTTTCAAGATCATAAGAGAAGAATTAGTGATGGTTGTATCCAACTATGTCCAGCTAAGGGGACAGTTAATAGGTCAGTGGTAGGGCATCTGTTTTGCATGCAGAAGATCCCAGGATCAATACCTGGTTTTCCCAGATACAGCTGGAAGGGACTCTTGTCTGAAACACTGGAGAGCTCCTGCCAGTCCATGTAAACCAGAGGTTTTCAACCTTTTTGAGTCCACAGTTCCCTTGACCAACTACATTCTTTCTGCATCACCCCTGTGGGCCACAGAAGCCTAGTTATGTCACCCGCTTACCTGCTGAGCTGGCAGCCTCTCACTCTTTTTCAAACACCCTCCCTTGTGGAGTGTTCCCTCAGCCTCCTCTCCTCTCCCCTCTCCTTGGGAGTCCTCTGGGCGGCTGCAGCTGCCACCCCTGGTCTCTGAGCTGCTCACTCACACCCCAAAGAGAAGCACCTCCTCACATTACCCTACAGGGGCATGGGAAGCACCCCCGGCCAGTCTGAGAGGCACCATTCACCTGTTGCAACAAACAGCTGTGCAAGCCTTTGGGGGGCAGAAATGCAAGAGGGCATCAGAGGAGGGAGGGAGGGAAGGAAAGAGGGTCAGAGGCCAGTGTTGCCTGCGGCATCCTGGCCATCCTTCAAGACACTCCAGGGTGCCACTGCACACTGGTTGAAAACCACTGGTGTAAACAATGCCAAGCTAGATGAACCAGTGGTCTGATGCAGTAGAAGACTGCTTCCTGTGTCCCTAAGTCCTACTTGGAGGAGACCCATTGAATGGGCCTAAGTTAGCCATGCCCATTCATTTCAATGTGTTTATTCTGGAAGTTCACTAGCATTGGATACAAACCTGAAGAAGAGAAGAAGAGTTTGGATTTGATATCCCACTTTATCACTACCCTGAGGAGTAGCCTGGAAGGAAGAACATCAAAAGAGGCTTGGACAATGGAGTCAACCTCTTTTCTTTTGGCCTTAGGCCCACCCCCAGCCGGCCGTCCATTGTCCTCCCTGGCCGAGGGTGGGTCAAAGGCCGGCCCAAGCAGATGGGTGGCACCCTCCCAGGTGAGCCCCGCTCAGTGCTGCAAACCCCGCCCACCTGTGGGGAAGGGAGGGCGGAAATTATCACTACCCTGAGGAGTCTCAAAGCGGCTAACATTCTCCTTTTCCCTTCCTCCCCCACAACAAACATTCTGCGAGGTGAGTGGGGCTGAGAGACTTCAAAAAAGTGTGACTAGCCCAAGGTCACCCAGCAGCTGCATGTGAAGGAGCGGATAAGTGAACCCGGTTCACCAGATTACAAGTCTACCACTCTTTAACCACTACACCACACTGGCTCTCTACCATTGCTAGCTACCGACACCACAATTCTGACCCTTTGGATGAGGTCAACTGGAAGCCCCAAGGTGTCCTGATCTTGAAGATGGAATAGCTGGAGAGAAATGTTAAATTCATAATTACTACACTCCCACCCTCTGCATGCCTTTTGTTACCATTTGACATCCAGCAAAAGAATTGATGGTTTAATGAAGAACCAAGGGACTGGTTGTTGTTTTTAACCAGACTCAACCTTCTTCCTGCCTACTTGCTCAGCCTCTCCACCTTCCCAATGAATTCTGTTGTTCCTCCTCCATCTCTCCAACCCCAAGGATCCACCAGCTGCTTCATAGGCCCAGCAGTGGGGATAGCAGGGAGCAATCAGATGACTGTGATACTGGCAACACATACAACCTGAGTTTGCTATTATGAGTAATGGTTAGCAGAGTAAGATTCCAATCTTAGGTCAGTGATGGCTTCAGGTTTTGAAGGGCCTTTGAGCAAGACACACTTCATGGTAGACTCCCCGTCCCCATAGAGTCTACTTTCTAATATCAACAGGGGCAACAAACTTTTTTTTCAGTGGGCTCTCTGCTGCAGTTTGGTTCCTCAGGAGATGCCCAGTCATACTGATGTTTACCACCAGCCCTGTAGAAGGCTGTGGCAAAATCTGTTTGAGAAACAGCAGTTGGATGCTTTGAACATACACACACACACACACACACACACACACAGAGAGAGAGAGAGAGAGAGAGAGAGAGCACTGAAGTATTGAACAGAATGTGCTATTCTAGTTTGGGTGACTGGGTGCATGTGTGTTTTCCAGGGACATCTGTGGTTCTCCTGATGCTTCTGGACTCCAACTTCCAGCAGCCCCATTAGCAGCTTGGTCAACAGTCAGGGGTGGTGGGAGTTGTACCCCAACAACAACTGGAAGGCCACAGGCTCCACACTCGTGCTTTGCTCTCTAACCATGAGAGCTAGCACCTTGTTCCTTTTGTTAACAACAACAAAAGCAACAGCAGTCACTCTCAGAGCCTGTCCAACTTGTTTGGCTCTCACTATGAAGGGGAGAGGAACAGTGATATTTTTCTAGAAAAGAAGTGCTAGAACTCACCATGAACGCCTCCTTTGTTCTCTTATAATGGCAATGGCACACACCTGAGAGTCCTGGATGAAAAAAAGCCCTGGAGAGAAAACTGATTCAATTTACATTTAAAGGCAAACCTGCCAGATTTGCATTTTCTGAAACAGTAAACGAACCAAAACACAACCATCCTTCAAAATTTGCATTTCTCTTCATTTTGCAATATGGTTCTCCAGCCAAGCAATGTGTGCAAAAAATGCATATACCAGACTAAAGTGTGCATAAAAATGTGCATATCCATGAATACAACATACCAAAAAATGCATTGTATTAGGGGAAATTGCTTTGGGGGAGAGGATATATCAGGAAAATTGTATACCAATATCTGTATCTTAACTCTCACTGAAATGTTGGTGAGGACTTTAAAAAATAATCACAAACTGATGCGGAAATTAGGAGCACTGGACTTAATTTGGGGCGAAGGGAGAGGAATGGAGAGAAACTGAAATGGACAGATCTGTCTATCTCTAGCTGCTGCATGTTAGTGTTGGGGCCACCAAGCTGTGCCACTTCTGTAAATTATGCCTGTGTGATGCTGTGGGCCTGATACAAGCAGCAGATTTCACAGGGACACCACAATGAGACAGATGGAATTGCAAACGCTTGCTGGGTCTCAGGTGGCTGCATTAGTATAGGGGTGGGGGCACAGAGCAACTCTCTGGCATTGACACCCCCTGCTCATTCAGTTGCTGTCTCATGCTCTGTGTGGCTCTGCTAAAACAGATTCAGGCACAAACTGCTTGCAGGGGAAACAGTGCAAAAGAGATTGAAGCCACACACAAACATCTTCCTGGACCAAAATTGGGATTTGGCACCAGTTTTGCATAGGGTAGTATGAGAGAAAATCCCAAACCCAGTGTGAGGAGGTGTGTGTGGATCTGAATTCAAGATATGGCTTATCTCTTTAAATCATGGCCTAAGTATAAGATTGACATAATTCTAATAAGACATGAGACCTTCCATGATGAGCCTCCTGTAAGAAGGTGCCATTCAAAATATGCAATTGGGCAAATCTCCAGGACCGGATGGGCTGACTTCTAGATATTATAGATCTTTGAAAGAGTGGCTATTACAACCTTTGAAGGAAGTCTGTAATGAAATATTGGAAGGGAAAAGGGCACCAGAGTCGTGGAAAGAGGCGTACATTACACTTATACCGAAAACAGAGACTGAAAAGACTCAGCTTAAGAACTACTGCCCTATATCGTTACTTAATGTGGATTATAAAATTTTTGCAGACATTTTGGCCAAGAGATTGAAAAAAGTATTGATGGAAGAGATCCATAAAGACCAAGCGGGCTTTCTCCCAGGAAGACACTTGTCTGATAATTTGAGAAATATAATTGATATTTTGGAAAAACTAGAAGTGAAAATAAACACTAAAGCAGTTCTGATATTTGTGGATGCGGAGAAAGCCTTTGACAACATCTCTTGGAGCTTCATGAAGAAGAACCTACAGGGGATGGGGGTAGGCCAAGGTTTTGAAAATGGTATAGGTGCAATATACTCTGAACAAAAGGCTAAATTAATTGTAAATAATGTGGTGACAGAAGAATTTAAGATAGAAAAAGGGACACGACAGGGGTGCCCAATCTCCCCACCTGGAGGTTCTGCTGAATATGATTAGAAGGGACCGGTTGGTTAAAGGTATACAGGTTGGAGCCAAACAGTACAAACTGAGAGCATTTGCAGATGACTTAGTATTGACGTTACAGGAGCCAGAATCTAGTACTAAAAGGGTTTTAGAACTAATTCAAGAATTTGATCAACTGGCAGGATTTAAACTGAACAAGTTAAAAACTAAGGTTTTAGAGAAAAATTTAACACTGATTGAAAGAGAGAGGTTTCAGAATGAGACAGGCCTGACTGTGGTTAAGAAAGTGAAATACCTGGGGATTAACATGACAGCCAAAAATGGGAACTTATTTAAAGATAATTATGAAAAATGTTGGACGGAAGTGAAAAAAGACTTAGAAATTTGGTCAAATTTGAAGCTTTCACTGTTGGGTTGTATTGCTGTGATAAAAATGAATGTATTGCCTAGAATGCTGTTTTTGTTTCAAACATTGCAAATTGTGGACAAGATGGACTGTTTCAAGAAGTGGCAGAGAGATATTTCTAGATTTGTCTGGCAGGGCAAGAAGCCCAGAATAAAATTTAAGATATTAACTGATGCAAAGGAAAGGGGTGGATTTGCCCTGCCAGACTCTAAACTTTACTATGAATCAGCAGCTTTTTGCTGGTTGAAAGAATGGCTACTTCTTGAAAACACAGACGTTTTGGACTTAGAAGGTTTTAACAATGTATTTGGATGGCAATCATATCTGTGGTATGACAAGGTCAAAGCGCATAAAGCATTTAAAAACCATATTGTCAGGAAAGCACTGTTTAATGTTTGGATAAGATACAAGGATTTGTTGGAAAACAAAACCCCAAGGTGGCTGTCACCGATGGAAGCGAAAGCTCTGAAAAGGCTCAATATGGAGGCCAATTGGCCGAAATATTGGGAAATTTTGGAACAAGGAGGAGACAAATTGAAATTGCAGAGTTTTGAGAAATTAAAAGACAAAGTGCGAGATTGGCTTCATTACTATCAGATAATGGAGGCATACAATTTGGACAAGAAAATTGGCTTCCAGGTGGAAAAATCAAAATTAGAAACAGAAC